GAGAATAGAGAGATTTCCTTTCTAATAGAGATAGCGCTCACTAAACAAAAGGTCATGGTTACCATCATCAATGCAGTCTCTCCAATCTTTGTTGCATTATCTAAATTTGTGTTCTTATCACTTCAAAGCTGATGTTCTTCATTTTAACTTCTTCTTATGTCAAGGCAGGGTCCAGGATCACCTTCCAGTCACAATAGTGTAGCCAGGGAATTTGGTGGTAAGAGGGGGACTAACCACTTGACAGCTGTACAGGAACTATGTCAGGTTGTCTATCAGGGCCATGTCCAGGTGTAGTGTCATGGGCTTATTGCCCAAAATGGATTTCTTAGCCCACTGCCTTTGACTTGAGCTATGTGGTTGGGTGGAAACATGCAAATAAAAGGTGTAGACTACTACTGAGGGGGCTGGCCAGTTTTACCAGCCCGTCAGACTTAAAGTGAGCAAAAAAGGAGACTTGCTACCAGCAAGAAAGAAGCCTAGCATGCACACTATGTTCTTCTGGGCAACAGAGATTCCTGCTCAAGACAAGAGGCAGCCCAGGATTGAGACAATGCAGCATTCGTGGGAAACCAAGGTGCCACAGAGCTGACTGGGACCTGCTGCACCTCGGAGCTGAAGCCAGAGCCCTTCGCCCCAGCTCCTTGGAGGACTGGGTGCAGAGACACCATAATTAACAGAAATTTGTCACACAGGCAGGAAGCCTCATGGCTGAAGGCTATAGGGCATCTGGGCATGCTTGAGAAGCTGTCCTGACCAAGAACTGTATCCTGTTTCCAATATCAATTGTGATGCGTTAACTTCCCTTAATAAACCCCATCATGAGCATGATCTGCATGTTATGTGTGGCCACCGCAACAGATTAGAGGCTGCAGGGGGGCAGCACCACCCTGGGAAGGACAGTTGGCGTTAGAATTAGTGTGGGAGCGCGGGGACACATCTTACCTCATGGGAATCAGTCTTGCGTTGTGGATGTTGTTGGGGACTGCTCCCCCTTGTGGAGTTGGTGAAGTCAGAAGCATATCACTCCTCTCTCCCTCCCCCCACCCCTTGGTACACCATGATTTACTAGATTTAGGTTCCAGCCTTTCATTAACAGGCATTTTTTGGATTATGCCCATTTCCTTTCTTGAAGTGTTGGAAAGAGGGCTTTTAACTCTGATTATTGGTAGGGCTTTCATACCTAGAAAGGTTCAGAATCACACACACAGATCTTTGTAAATCCAAACATATCTCCAATGTATTTCAAACTCCCATTATGCTCTGTGGACAGACGTGATGTCACCAAGGATGGCTATGTAATTGAAGATAAAACTACACAGGTACAGATGCTCTGCTGGAGAAGGACGGGCAATCTCATCCTGTGCCAGTTGGATCCAATTTGAAAAAAAAAAGAATTTGAAAAAGAAAAACAACAACAAAAAACTACACGTGTGATGCGTATCACAAGAAGAGCAATCAGAACTGAATCGAGGTGCAATTATGGAAAGAAAACCCATGCCATTTAATTAGATTGCATTTTATTTAGATAAATGAAAATTTGCCCCCAAACAGAACTAGGAATCAAATACTGTCCTGTTGAGCTTTGAGCTTACAGTCCAAGTTAAAGCTTCCAGTCCCTAACATCAAAGGAAAATACTGGAACAAAGTGTCTATGTACAGAGGGGCAATCCCCTGTACCATTAGCAAAATAACCTGAGGGGAACATTTTCTATTCCTCAATTACAAGAAGTGGCGAGAGTTTACAAGTCTTGCATTGTTTTCTATCGTACATGGCTCCGTAGGAACGCCAAAAATAGCAAAATATAGGCACTTGCTCCAACTTCTGCAGTTTACACGTGAAATGTTAGGTACTTCATAAATTAACAGCAGCGTCATAAAGAGAAAACAACTGTGTCTTCATGCTACTGTTGATGTTCATAGTGAAGATACATCAAAGGTGGCTTAATGGACATAAGGTACAGATTTGTACAGAAGTTATCAAGGGCACATTCAGATATTGGTACAAAAGCACAGTAAATAAGCAACCACTACTGGAAAATGAGTGTTGGTCAAGATGGCCAGGCCCCATGGGGTTAACAGAAGGTCAAACATAAATGGGTTGCAGGAGAAAGCGTTTCTATTTCAACTCTCTCCTGCCACATACACAGCTCTTTAACCTGTTTAGAAACAGCAGTTAGGAAATCCGTCTGTGTTTTGAGCTGTTGTGAGGTGTTTTACCAAGCCGTGCTGGCATCTCTAGTGTGTGTTAAGTGATCTTTAAAAACTGACACCAACACCTAGTTTTTAAGTCTCAAATCGGCCTAGGGAGGAGATAATTAGATTGGCTTTTAAATTCAGGAATTTTGAAGTTTTACCGTGAATTAACTATAAGTGGCTCTTATACATATAGGTGAACAGCCTGTGATAAAGGGCAGTGTTCCATAGACAAGACTGTTAAAAGGAATCTAATGAATAGGGCCAATTAAAAGAAATTATTACTAGAGTATTAGCTTGCAAATTTAAGAGAAAGTACCTTATCTTCCAGTTTCAGTAACAAATTTTCTTTTGGCTAACAGTGCAGGCTTTCTAGAATGCTGAGATTCAAGTTTGCAAACTAGAGTAAAAGGTCTTGTACCTCAGTAAAACTTAACAAGTCAATATGCCAGGCCAGTTCTAGGCTGAAAAGTCAGCACTCTGCAGTAGCCAGGTAACAGGCTGTCCGTGGTGTGACAACTGTCTGACAAAACAGATATTATGACTCATTACAGTAATTTTGACATCTTTAAAAAAAAAAAATTCCAACTCACCATTTAGCAAAGTGTATTTTACTAAATAGCCTTCTCAAAATTCCTTTCCAGAGACAGGTCTTGGTTTTCCAATGTAAAGCCAAAAATACTGACACAGAAATTGACTATGACATCACCAGATGGTAGAACTGTACCAGAAACACCAGTCTGGAAAGTGAATGATTGATCTTAACAGCTGCATCTCTGCCCCAATGTCCTCAAACATGTAGCTAGACCACTGTCAAGTGGTGAACTCTGCAGTGCAGTGGATACTAGGCAAGAAAGTGGAGGCTAGCTTGCTTTTAGAATCCAGTTAATGTGTCCCAGACTTCCTAGGTTTCTAATAAAACCAGAAAATCTATGTGAAGCAAATATTTTATTTAAATCATTTGTCAAACCACAAATTTTCCAAATTAACATAATCCAACATTGTTTTTATAAGAGTGAGCACAAATATGGCACAGACACAATCCAGGATCTATCAAAATCGCCTTTTACAAGAACCCGCCATACTTCATGCTGTGTGTGAAAATCAGAGCCAGCAGAGAAAATTAGAATAAAAACCTCAACAGTCAAATCCTTTTCTTCAGAACATGAAAACAACACTTTGCCTTGGGAGGAAGCATACGTATCTGTTCAAACCATTTTAACAAGTAGGAGGAAAGATTCAAAGTTATTCCTCTACTGAGAAACATTGCCTTCCAAAACTCTACTGGGTAAAAAAGAAGAGATTCACACTAACTATGGGACAATTTGAAAAGATGATTCTAAGTTTTCAGTACACTGTGCAGAAGATGAAAGTGACCAAATTAAGACTAATAACATATGCTGATCTAATTGTTGGCAAAATATTTAAGGTCAGAATTTTACCTTTTGGTCAGGAATGTTATTTCTGGAAGCCCTGTTTTCACAAGTTCTAACTGATGCTGCAAGCTTCCGAGGGCTTCCCCATGGCTGTGTGGCCTGTTGCATATTGTGTGATACAAAAGGCAGGTACTACTGTGCACATTCCTTTAAACAGTAAGGAAAAAAATATACACTAGATACAGAGGGATTACTTAGGACATACACATAAATACACAAAGAATGAAACTCCAGTTTGAGAAGCAGAACTAGGTATTGCCAAATCCAGTTCCAGGTTAGGAATTCAGGGCATTAAGTCAGACACTTTATATGGTAGCAAGGGCAGATAACAGGGGAGGCTTGAAAAGAGGGAATGTGAGAAAGCCAACGCTCCCGATGAAGCCTCAGGATTGTCAGGGGGTCTCGGAATGAGATCGGCCGATGTGCCTATTCTTTATTTCTCCAAGTTCTGAAATATTGATCGTGAGTCTCATCAGCAGCATCCGTTGTCTTCTGTTTTCACATTCTGGTCTTGCAAATGTCCAATGTGTCTAACTGCAAAAGGATGGATGGATCAAAGTAAATAAAGACGGCTTTCTCATTTTATCAAAAGGCAAAGTTGCAAATTCAAATTCTAGCCCTAGCAATGTCAAGGTTTGTTGTTGTGGTTGTTGTTTGATGCTGTTGAGCACGACTCATAGTGGCCCAATGAACTAAAGATCTGAACCCGGCTCTATCCTGCGCCATTCCCATACTTCCTGACACTCAAGAGCCCACTGCAGCAGTCACCATGTCAATCCACCTAACTGAAGGTTTTCCTCTCCTTTGCTAGCATCATATCCTTTGTATCATATACACTATGCTTTGCTCCCGCAAGACCAGTAACTGAACTTCCCAAACACAACAGACTCTTTAAATGCTCTGGGAAATGATTAAATGCAGGAGAAATCACTGTTTTCTAGAAGACTATCAGTTTTCAGCAGTCTGATATAAACTTGTTTTCAGCTTCCACTTGAAAGAAATACATTCAACACTAGATCACCTTTTGCTGAATGGGCACAATATTTTTTTTCCCTTACATCTCTGAGACAAACATGCAGATAGACAAGTCCACATGCCCTTTAATTTTCTTCTAAAGCTGTCACATTGAGAATAAAGGAAGCCTTCATTCTTATGACCACAAAACTAAACATGGTTTCAATGAGGGAATATAAACAACCCAAACCCCAAACAATCTCCTAAGTCTATCTAGTTGATAGCTATTTCTCCAAAGGGTTTGCATAAACTTTTAATTATCTGAACTCCAGCTTCCATCACAACTGGCAACTAACTAGTAACAAAAAGGAGGGGAAAACCACTAGAGTAGATAAGGACGTTTACTTACACGCTGTTTCAGGATTCTGTCAGCTCTGGTTTTGCAGGCTCCCTCTCCTGTTTATGCATCTCCTCCTCTGGCTGTGTCTTGATCTCGTTTTCTGGCTCGCTGTGCACTTTTCCTTCTTGGAACTCCACTCCTTGGATGTCTTCTTTCTTTTTCTGCTTTGGTCCATTTGTATCTGGGGACTCTTTGGTTAAGTCTCCAGAGGCATCTGTATCTTCTCGGGCTGCTTGCTGGTTCTCTCTGTAATCAACAGCATCTCCTTTCTCGTCACCTTTGGATTCATAGGGTGACTTCTCAATTCTTTCTCCCAAAGCAGTACCATCATCGTCTTCTCTCAATGACTTTGTTTTGATGGCATCTTTCATCTCCTTTGATGGGACAGCAACTGCTTCAGGAGGCTGCTGGTCATTTGCATTGTAATGTTTCCCATCAACAATTATCATCTCTTCTGTCACCTCCCTCCTATCCTGGGAGATGGCAGGAGGTGTCACTTCCACAGTGGCTACTGTTTTCTTTGTAGATTCTTCTTTGGCTGGGGTGGTTGGTGTTTTGTCCTGTGCACTTTCTTCTTTCTCGGTTTTCTGCCCAGCTTCCTGGTCATCAGCTACCATCACCTGAGCCTGTGTCTCTGAGGAATCCAGCATCACCTCAGGCACCGTGGCTTCGGTACCCACGAGCTGGTCAACAGCTGTCTGCACGATGTTGTGTACCAGTTTACTGCTCTCACTTTCAATTTCTAAAAGCCTATTTTTTGTCTTTGCATCATCATCTTGTGTTACAGTCTCTTCGATTTTTTGACTAGCAATCTGTGGTTGGTCTTCATCTGGCTTCCCTTTCTGTGACGCAGTTTCGTCTCCTTCTGGGTAAGGACTTGCTCCTTTCTCAGCAGCAGGAGCAGATGCTATTACTGGTGGTGCTGCTGCCTGAGCTGTGATCCCTCTGCTCACTGCATCTTCCCCGGGCTGTGCACTGGAGTCAGGATCTTTGTCAGAGAATTGTCCTTCAGGTACCAACTGTGCATCTGCAGACTCCAGTGTTTCAGCTACTGTTTCTAAAGCCTTGACAGTCTCTCCTACAACCTTTTCCTCTACAGCTGCAACTGTTAGAATCGATGCATCCGAGTTTTGAACTTGAATTTCGGTGGATACTGCCTCTTCTTGTACTAGGCAAGCAGGAGAGCTTTCTTCTAAACAGGTTACTTCATCTACAACAGTTGCATGAACTGTCTGGACTGGTGGCTTACTGAGGTCTTCTGGTATGGCTTTTGCTGGCTCTTGCTCAAGTTTCTCATCATCAACTTGGGTTAGCTGCGTAACTGTCTTCTCCCTTTCTAACTGACCTACCATTTCTCTTTCTGCTGGCGTTGGGAGAGACTCAGTGCAACTCTGGAGTTCAATACTATCAGAATAAGACACAGTCTCTTGAAATTCAGTTTTTTCAGTAACTTCATGAAGAGCTTCAGTTATGCTCTTTGGACTGACTGTTATGTCTGTGTCTGCAGATACTTCAAGTCCCTTGGCAGAGGGTAGGTCTTTGGTTTTCTCATCAGCAAACTGGTCAGCCTGGTGAAGCATGTCAGTCTTTGACAGAATGGGTAGAGTTTCCACTGGCACCTCTTTATCTGTATGTCCTACAGCATCTTCCACCTTTGATAGCTCTTCACTTTCTTGCTGTGACTGAGCACTGGAAGATAAGGGTGGCATCTCTTCCTGTGTAGGAACTGCTTCTGCATCTGGGAGTTCTGGTTGTCTACAACGTGAAATCTCACCCTCTTCCTGGACTTCCCTGATCTTGTCTTGCTGTGTGGTATCTGGAGCTTCAATCTCTGTTACTGGAGTGCTTCCATTGGTCTCAGTGTCTGTAAGGGTTTCACCTGAGTCAGGCGTAACAGCCTGCTCCACCATAATCTCCTGTGATTTGCCCTCAACTAGGGCTTCCACTGGAGAAGTACTTACAAGACCACTGGACTCTACACTCTCTGAGACTTTTTCCAAACTTTCCAGCCCTTTAGAATCTTTTGCTTCTTCTGCTTTCACTGAAACTTCTGAGTCTACATTCTGGGCCTGGGCCTGAGCCTGAGCTGTGTCTTCTGGGCCACTGGAGTCAGGCAGCTGTGATTCTCCCTTCACTTTCTCTACCACCGCCTCCAGGACCTCCTGAGTCCGCCTCCCTAGGCCTTCTAGATCTGGCATTTCTCCTTCTGCCTCTTGTACTGGTGTGGCTTCTTCTGTAGTGTCTGGTGAGTCCGTGAGCTGGGAAACAGCTGAAACCATTTCTGTGGTCTCTTCAGCACCGGACGCTTCAGTCCCTTCTTCAACACAAAACACCTCGGTGGTTTCTGCAACTGTCACAGCTTCAGAAGTGAATTCCACCTCTTTAGCAATGGTATCATCACTGGCATCTTTGCCCTCTGGCAACGTTTTGGCAACAGTGGCAAGCTCTCTTTCAGGTACCGCCTCTACTGATGCCTTGGCTTTGTCTTCCGCTGGTTCAAGGGGATTTGTCACGGATGCAGATATCCAGGAAGGAGATCTCTCTTCAGCACTGGTGACTGCTCTTGCCCCATCAACCACAGTTACAGTCACTGTCTGAACCAGACTCTTACTGAGCTCCTCTGACACATGCACGGCCACCTCTGCCTCAGGTTTCTTGGCACTCTTCTGGGCCTGCTGGGCTTCCATCTTCTCCCGTTCAACAGCATCATACTCTGCCAAGGGCACTACAGCTGGGACCTCGGAATCCTCTTCGTTGATTTCTGATGGGCCTGTGTCCTCAGCCGTGGTTTGTTCTTGTTTGCCATCTGATCGTTTCTTTCTTCTGCCGGGAATGAATTTTTTAATAGAAACCCAGGACTCTTCTCTCCCAGGTTCAACATCTGAAGCCGACTGGTCTACGGCAGGCCCTGCAGCTGACTCTTCATTCTTCTCTTCCAGTTTGGCCTTGGGTTTTTTCCTGGAGGTGACTAATCTTTTAAAGGACTCCCAGGTGGACACGCCCTCGCCTTCCGAAGGGCTTCCTGCTGGTTCCGGGGAGGAGCCACCTTGACCTTGATCGTGATCTTGGGCGGGGGTGGCATCAACTCCAGTCTCCTTGTCTTTGGCAGCTTCGTCTGGCTTTTGGCTGGCCCCGCTGCCAGCGGCCCGGGGACCCCCTTCCTCGTCGGAAGATGACCCTTTTCTCGCCCTCTTCTTGGAGGAGCCCACGCAGATCAAGGCTTCCCAGGACACGGACGTGTCCACCTTGCGCCTCGGCTCTTCCGGTTTGGGCTCTTCCGGTTTGGGCTCGGTGGCGCCGCCCTTCGCGTCCTCCTGCATCTCGGAGGCGGCGCTCTCGGCCGAGGACAGCGTGGAGCTCTTGGTCTTCTCAGGCTCGTCCTCTCGGTCGCTCTCTGAAGGCCTCCGCGCCCGCTTCTTGGGGGTCACCATCTTCTTGAAGGACGCCCAGGGGGTGACCCCTTCCCTCTTCCTCTCGCCGTCTGAGGCCGCCCCTTCCTCGGCGGCGGAGACAGCGGTGACGGTGTCGCCATCTTGCGGCGCCTCCGCGGGCGCCTGGTCGGGGCACGTGATTGCGTCACACGTGGCCGCCTCGCACGTGATGACGTCAGGCTCGTCGGGGGATGACGCCGAGCTGTCACCCTTGTCCTCGGCGCTGTCTGGGGACTCCTCGTCCGCGCAGCTGCCTCCTCCTCCTCGCTTCCCTTTCTGTTTCTTCCCCGACAGCTTTTTCAAGCCCGTGCTGGTGAAAAGCTTCTTTAAGGGGCTCCCCTGCGCCTTGGTGCGCTCCTGGGCCGCCAGCATTTCCGCCTCGCTCACCAGCCCATCGGGGGGCCTGGGCTTGTCCTCAGGACTGGCTTCCGATGGCTGGGTTGCTGGGGCCCCCTCTGTGGTCACCAGCCCCTCGGCCGGCTCGGCCTCCTGCAGCTCCGCGGTCGTTTCCTCCGCTTTCTCGGGAGGCGAGGTCTCGGCCTCCGCCTTCTGCTCCTCTGTCTTCTCCTCCGTGCTGACATGCACTTGGGCAACAATCTCTACTTTTTCATCGAATACTTCTGTGGCCAGGGGGGCCTGTTTCTCTTCAGGGGGTCCCTGGAGGTCGTGGTCACAGGGCAGCTCTATTTTTTCGTACTCAGCCGATAACCTGGCATTGCTCTCGGTCTCCGTCTTCCCCTGGTCCGAGGCACTGGCTGGCTCTGTGGCAGAGGCCTCAGCTTTCCCCTTCTCCTCCGTGTCCACTTTCTCAGGCTCTTGTTCCTTTTTCTTCTCAGTAATCCCCAGGTCCTCATCCTTTGACTTTTTGAAGCTGGTCTTTTTCCTCCAGCCCGCCCAGCCTTGAGTGAAGAACTTTTTGAAGGGTGATGCCGTCTCGTTGGCCGTGGGGCTGGATGGCGATTCTGGCGACTTTCCTGGCTCTCGCTTTTCGTCTCCTTCTCGTTTTTCGTCTCCTTCTTGTTTTTCGTCTCCTTCTTGTTTTTCATCCCCTTGCTTTTCATCTCCTTGTTTTACGTCTCCCTCTCCCTCTTTCTTCTCGCCCTCTACTGCTGCCCCATTGGGCTTGGTGGGCAGAGTGGCCTCGCAGTGGCCTTGCTCGCTTGGCGCCTGGTCAGTGGCCTTCTCAGTGGACTGCTGAAGTTCACTCTCCTTGGAGGTGGCTTCTCCGGCCTCCACACTGACCTCCTGGTGGTCGCCAGCCCCCTGGGAGCCCTCTGCCCCTTCTGTTTCATCTTTTTTGACCGTGAGCAGCTGGACAGCATCCGACCTCTCAGCCTTGTCCTTTTTCACAGTGAATTTAAAGCCTACAAACTTAAACACCTTCTTAAATCCAACATCGTTAGACTGAGGCTCATTGGATTGTGTTAACTCATCTAGACTGTCTTCCGAAGAAGGAATCTGCTCACTTCTTTCCGGCATTTCTTCCTGCCCGTCCTTTGTGAGGTCTTGAACAGCTGCGGAGTCAGCAGCCGTCTCTTTACTGGAAGCTTTTTCAGTAACATCTTCAGACTCTCTTTGGCCAACTGTTAACGACAAAAAGAGGGGAGAGTGGAGAGAGGACTATTATTAAAATCCAGGAAATGTTAATACTTGTACATAACATAATACTTTCTTTAAAGATCTCCTTCTCTGTCTTCCAAAAAGGGTAATTCCAGGATCGGTAACTGTCTTAATGGTATTTGAAAACCTTAATAAATTACTTAACAGCTGCTTCTTTTATTTTAAAAAAAAGTATTTTGTGATTTTAATGAAAGTTTTCAGAAAAGTTGGATTTTCATTCATTCTTTGTTGCACATTTTCCTCCCCCCCCCCATTTACTGTTGCACAGATGCTTTTTCAAATGACCTTTAATGATTAAAGGCTCATAGGTACTGCTCTGCCCTTTTTCGTATAAAGGGTGCACTAACAAAACCGACTCACAAGTACTTAGACAGGTACAAGTAACTTGTAAGCATCATGAATAGTGGGTCAGCTACATATTGTATCTTCCTTTGCAAAACAAAATGGAGCTTCAAATCACATCCATGATTTTCAACTAGAATAAATTACACTTGAGATAGAGCTTCTGCTGTACAGAAAGTACAGAGGTAAGGGGAGTAAGTAAGAATACAAACAAGTCTTGACAAATCCTCTTTAGATTTTAAAGAGAATGATGTTCCATATAACTACTCTGTTGTCTTCAGAAGTTCCAGAATGGATCAGTGATCTTTGGGGAAATCCAGTGCCCAGGTACGGAAAATACAAGGACAGAAAGCGGGTTCTTAAAAACATATAGGAGCAGGTCTCAGGGACACACAAGCCAACTGGAAGGTAATCCAGTTGGCCCAACCAGGGATCTTAAAACAGATTAATGCCAGTGATAGCTGGCACACTGAATAAAACAATCTGTTAACAGTGATATTAAGGATTTGCATCCTAGGAAACCCTTTTAGGCAGTCTGATTCTGTCCTACAGGGCTTCTATGGGAATCGACTTAACAGCAATGGGTTTGCTTTTCTTATTCAAGTTCTCCTTAGAATTTTAAAGTTATTTAAATGAGAATTTTAATTTAGTTATTGTTTAGAAATATCAATGTAACAACTTATTCAGTCAAGAATCATTAAGAAATAGGAAAGCAAATGGGTCATCAGGAAACTCGCTGTTTCAGAACATCAAAACAGACTACTCATTAAACTGCAAAGGGAAAGTGCCTTATGATTGACAAGTCAGGCAGGCGCCACCTTCGCCAGGCAATCAAATTTAACATCACCAATAATGGGCCACACAGCCATCTTGCTTCCTGAGGGAGGATAATAAATCATGGAGGTCATGTTCTGGAAAAAAAATATTTAATGGAATCCAATCATGAGGAAGCAATCAGATGAAGGGCGTTGGTAAAACTATGAGCCTGACTTGAAATGTCAATGTCACAAAGGACAAAAAAAAAGGAACGAATGAGAGAAAAAGCTTTTCATTAGCTTAGGAAGAAAAGAGAAAGCAAGGGAGAAGAATATGTGGCAAAATAGAAACACAGTGATTTGAGGGTAAGATGGGTGTTTATTACATTTTTTTTGTTTATTACATTTTTATGATGTTTTGATATTTTAAAAACAAGCATGGTCAGGGAAGAAAGTCTATGCAATTTAATAAGAGATTTAAGGAACTTAACCAGTCATACTAGACACAGTCCTGGAGAAGCTATTGATTAGAACAAAGCAGTTAAATAATCATTGAGGGTCTTCTGAGGGGGAATGTGTGATTTGTAATTAGATTTGAAGGATTTTCATGGAAATGAAAGCTGAACGTTAACAGTGTGACCCTATTTTTATTTTGAAAACAAACTCTCTCCTTAACACACACATGTACACACGCTCACATATGTCTTTGTGGGTGGGAATGTGCCATATTTGAATGTGGCTTGTCTGAACTGTCTAATACTCTATTACACAGGACATGTACTGCTTTTTGTAATACACAAAAGGTAATTTAAATAGACACAGTGATTTTCATACACTGTCAGCATAAAATGAGGCCTGGTCATTGTAATTCATTAGCATTCATCCCAACGCTGAGAGAACAGCAATAAATGTTTGAAATATAGAACCAATGTCATTGCTAGGTGCTGTTGAGTCGAGCACGCCTCCCTGGGACCCAATGCACAACACATCTGAATCCTGACCTATTCTGTGCCATCCTCATCATCTCTGACACACATGAGCCCAATGGTGCAGTCACTGTGTCTCAATCCATCTTACAGAGGTGACTTCAAATCCACAAATTCCTTCCAACTATATTATTTCTGCATTTTATCATTTCTGCGAGACAGACTGACCCAGTGGCAAAGCGCAGCGAAGCTAGGGGAGACTGGGCAGGACAGGGCAGAGGTCAGATCTGTGGTTCATAGAATCACCCTGAAGTGTAGTTGACTCCTAACAACCTAACAACAGCGTATGAAATATTACAGATCTAAGACCACAAATTTCCATTATATAATTGACTTCATTTTGAAAAAGACACCTGTATTAATAGGAAACAGTCCAAAGTGCCCTGAAATCAAGCCCCAGGCCAGGCACACAGAGTCCTGTTGCAAGGTCCTCTGTACTATGATATGGCACATTATACGCTGCTATGATGAGCAACAGGTTTCAGCTGGACTCGGAAGAAAGATCTGGCAATGTACTTCCACATAAGCCAGCCAGTGGAGACACTATGGATTGGGGCTGGTACAAGAGTAGGCGGACTTTCATCTCATTGTGCCTGGGTCAGGACAGGTTATGGGGAGCAAACCCAAAGGCCCTGTAAGTTCTAACAGATTTTTCACTGTTTACAAGATGAAACTTGTGGCCCATTTTGGCCTCTAATATTGCAGAGAGCAGGAAAGGATACTGAAAGGGTGTGATTTAAACAGTGCCCATCTGCTACAGTGCTAGACAGTCCCACTGCTTTGGGACAATGCCATAGTCTGTCTATACCTTTACCTGTGAGAACTACAGGAATCAGTCAGTCACCTGCCCTTATTCTGACACCAGCATGTAAGGGAGCATCGAAAGAGATTAACTGAGTACTAGGCATCTTGGGTAGATGTGTTGGTTTGGAGAAAACCCAAAAATCTCATTATTCTTAAGTACAATTCCCAAAAGGATTTTCTTTCTTCTTTTTATAATCACTATAAAATACACATTTGTGGCCCAAATGTAGACTTTAGAGATAAAGAAGAAATATTACCATCCACGTTGAACAGTGAGGCAAATATTTAAAGAGAAAGAAAAATTCAGACATACACAATTATTCCAACAAGAATGTCTCAAACTCTTTTACATTTTAAATCATAAACACTCCCCATTATTTTTTTCATAAAGCAGATATCTGAAAGAAATGCTATGAGTTGCCATTCTTCCTATTGTAAGTGGTGTACTTCTTTGGAACTAAATCTGTTAATTTTGATGCGCTTTGGAAAGTCCACTCACAGAAATCCTGTGGAAGACAGTTCTACTGTGCACATGGGGTCGCCATGAGTGACCTACTCAAAACATTTTTCTAAACCACTAAAAGCAATCTCCATGAATGATTCCTTAAATAGAAAAGCATACTCAATTAGACAACTTTCCAGAAACATTTCTAACATAAAACCGCCCTACTTTTTCTAAAAAGAAGATGGTAAAAGGGAAAAAAAATATAATCTATAGTGAGATGAGCTAGTAACTCAAAGTTCAGGCTTGTCTGCCAGTTTGAATTCACCAGCTGCCCCATGGGAGAAAGGTGGGCAGTCTCCTCTCATAGACTTGTACCTCACAGCCTCAGAAAACCAGCTGCAGTGTCAGCGAGGAGTCTGCTCTGTTCAGACCAACGAGTTTAGTTGCTGAGTTGAATACAAAGGAAAAAAAAATTCTGGTACACATGAGTCATGAATGCTAATGTATATAAAACTTTAAAATCAAAACTAGAAAATGCAGAGCTATTTTGCCAGCTGAGGTTACGCACAACCATTCTCACCTCCCCGTCTGTCCTCCATGTGCCAGCGTTTCTATGGTTGGATTTAAAACAACAACAACAAAAAAACAAAAAACCAAAAAAACAAAACAACCAAACAAACAAACAAAAAAAACCCCCTAGGACTAAAGGACTATTGGCAATAAAAAATAAGATAACAAAGATGATGAAAGGGTTGCCACCTGAGACAACAGTTCCTGAAAGTTCTAGTACAACTCAGCAATGCTCTGATACTCTCTTTATAAAGTCACTGGCTCTGAGTTGGAATCAACTCACAGTTAAGTGACTCTTCATCAGGCTTTCTGAAGCTATAAATCCCACAAGAGGAGACTACCTATTTTTCTCTCTCCAAGCGGCCAAACACGTGCCTCCCGTGGGGTGCCCCCTTCGTTTTAGGAGCACAACTCCATACTGTAGTTTCTTAAAAACCCAAAAATATATATGATCACATGAAATTTAAAAAGTAACTCTGTTCTACACCCTTTGACTTATTTTATCGTCTGCCTATGAGGGACTGTTGGCAGCCCATATGTTCTTTTCTTCCTCGGCGTTCAGCAGCATTTCCCCTTCTCAGTGGCCTTCGCACTGGTCTGATCTCAGCAGGTCATGTGTGGAGGATGGGCCTTCGATCACACCCTCAAGCTGTCAAAACCACAAAATGACCACAGGACAATGCCATCTGGACGCACCCCCGTAAACCTGAGCAATAAACGTGCCCTGAAAAAGCTCTGAAATTCTACTTTACAGAAATCCGTCTTGATCCTAACTGTTCTGGGATGTTTTCTTCCCGGCCAATTGACTGTGTGCGCGGAGGCGACTCCTAGCTGCCCATCTGGCGAGTTTTCCGTGTCAGTTGATCACATGGAAGGAGAATGCCATCGCTACCTCTAGAGCGGCTGGCGGGCTCGAACCACCGGCCTCTGGGTTGGCAGTACCCGCTACTTAACAGATTAAAGCACCCGCAGGCCCTCGCCTGTGGGACCAGCCGCTGGGGGGCGCTACTCACAGCACAGACTATTCCACCAAGGCATGGTGCTGGGTTCGAGCCGGCGGG